CAGTGACAAGTCATGTTTAGGATTTAGAAATTGGAAAAAAAAGACTTAGAGAGGTTTGAAAAGCATGCTGATTGTCAATTGAATAAGGTAACAGTGACAAGTCATGTTTAGGATTTAGAAATTGGAAAAAAAAGACTTAGAGAGGTTTGAAAAGCATGCTGATTGTCAATTGAATAAGGTAACAGTGACAACTCATGTTCAGGATTTAGAAATTGGAAAAAAAAGACTTGGAGAGGTTTGAAAAGCATGCTGATTGTCAATTGAATAAGGTAACAGTGACAACTCATGTTCAGGTAGCAAAAATAATAGGCATCTAGCTCTCTAGTGCTTTGGCATTACAGCAACAGGAGATTGTAAGAACAGTGCAGTTTTTGGCATGGCAAGGATTGGCTTTTAGAAGAATCTAAGCCAGCTGCTGAAGTTGAGGTCAGAGGATGATCCCAAACTCTGTGTGTGTGGTTGACACATAATCAGAATTATACCTGCCCTAAAATTCAAAATGAGATCTTGAGATTAATGGGCAACTCCATTGTGAGAGATATTGCAAAGCAAATCAGTTCTCTGCCACTGCTGCAATATTCAGTGATAACTGATGGAATACAAATACATCTGGCACTGAACATGAGTCAATCTGATGCCACATGAATAATTTGTATGTCTTTATGAAAAAAATATCTTCAACGACAGGAGAAAGAATGTCTAGGGTTTCTACTGATGTTTTACTGAACTTCAATCTATCCCTCTCTGTTTTTTGCAGGCAAACATACGATGGTGCTGCAAATATGTCGGGCTAATACTCTGGTGCATAGGCTTTCCTTAGAAAAGAACAACCACTAGTTTTTTATGTCCATTGTGGTCCTCATTATGTAAATAACATTACTCAGGTAACTTATACAGCCTCTCCTGTGATTTGGGATTCTTTGCAAATTGGGACACTTGTTTGGACAATCAGGGAAATTCAAGGTATTGTTTGGGCCAATAGGAAAGTCTGAGAGTGGACTATACACTAATTTGAAAACACTGTGCTCCACAAGGTGGACTGTTCATACCCTAGCCATTCAGTCAGTGCTCAACCAGTATGAGCCAGTGTTGCTTTTGTTTGGAAGAGAGATGGCTTCATCTAGTGCATCAGATTTGGCAACTAAAGCAAATGGACTCTTGGAAAGATTTCAAAAGAGGAAAACGGTCCTAGGACTAATCCTAGTTACTGAAATGATGGAGAAATTGGGAGTGCCTGAACATCTCTTTGCAAATGAATGCTGCAGTGGAGTGTGTCAAAACCTCTCTTCAAGAAAAAAGAACAGATGAAAGCTTTAACAAAGCATACAATAAAGCAACAGGATTAATCAACTCCTTGAATATCCAGCCTATTCAAATACCACACATGAGAAAACCACTTTACTGGTGAGACTGTTGCACATCTTTGGAGTACTACAAGCTGCTAGACACTGTAGATGTGTAGTTCAGAGAACTTTTCAACAAGACAGACCTGCAGAGTCTTGAAAAACTGGAGAAATTGTTGTGGATCAATACTCAGAGTTGACCGAGAAGTTATTACATGTGTAGTTAGTCATCTCAAAATACACCTACAATTCCAGCACTAAAGCTAGAAAAATTATGAGGGGCATGCTGCCTGATGGCCATGGCCTTTTTGATCAGGTTGAGGCCCTTGTGAGGTCACTGTTAATTGTCCCTCCCACTCTGCTGAAGCTAATAGAAGATTCAGTGCTGTCAGAAGGCTGAAGACCTGGCTTCATAATTCTGTGAAATAAAGTCACTTGAACAACGTAGCCACTTGCCACATTTATCATGACCAACTTGACCACCTGGAAAAGAAAATTAACCATCATAATAACAAAAAACACTGGAAAGCATAGCTGTACTTGCATTTACAAGAAAACATATTACAATTCAATTCTGACAAAGCATCTTTTGCCATAGCTTAAACTACTGTATAGGTAACTTTCAAATTATCCTTGCCAACAAAAACTCCCTTGTTTCTCTATATAAAAGATTTTACAATATTTCTGCACTGGTCATTTGCAGCTTTTATTTGTATACCAAAAAATTTTTATAACAAGGGGATAATTCTTGATATTGCCATATTGTGCAAATCCAGGTAAGAAAATTGATATATGTATAAGTTGTAGGAAATGAGGAATTAATACATAGAAAGTTCACCTGCTGTAACAGGTACAGATAATATATTAAACTTATGTTACACAATGTTTATTTTTAATCAAAGACTAACAGTGACACAGTTTCATTCCTGCTTTTTTTTTCAAAGGCAGTTTAACTGGATAACACTTTCAACAAATGTTTATACTGTATCAATCACTAAATCAACAATTTGATTTATTGTGTTTTTGTCAAGTTACCCTAAGTATTACCAATGTAAGTTTTATTACTATTTCCTATGTTGTACTGATACCTAAAAATTTAAAGTTTTAAAAGATTGGAAACATTGATATAATGGCTATTCGTTGAATGTTTTGCATTATTATAAGATAAAAAGGAAAAAAAATCAACACAAAAAAGAATACTTTTATTTCTTTTTAGATAATACCATCTTTTAAACCCCAGTTTTATGAAATGTCACCCCCACTTTTGATACAAATGTTTTGCTCCTGCTTGTATATATGTTTAAATTGTGCTTTTAAATATTGTGATATTCACTTTAAAAAAAACATAGGCAATGTGTTGTGTGTACATATATATATATATATGTTTTAAGCTGGGTTTTCAATAACCCTGAAAAAGGATCTTAGGCAAGGTTGAAAAACTCATTATAAACATAATTAACGTTGTAAGCATGTCTGTGTTTTAGTTGTTTTTATTTCATATACATGTTATCAAGTTAATATTTCAATAGTTACATTTTATACAGTGTTATATACTCAAAAGAAAACTAAGAAATGACATGTATTTAAATCTTCAACCTGAATGGCACATTATACTACAAATGGGCTACATGACCTGGTCATAGACCTCTAAGGTTCATCTATAACTTGTCCTTAATTTTAAACTACTGACCAGAGGAAAGACAATCAGTCAGCAGCACCACAAAAGCTTTATTTGGCTTTCAACTGCTACTGAATAACATGATTGACTGTTACTTTTATTACACTGCCAGCTGAAAGAGTGGAGCATGTTAACTTCTCACTACAGTCTCAGTGGAGTCAACCGAGTTCGAGACCCCAAATTGACCTTTATAGTTTCTATACTGTAACCTCTATTACGGTTTGTGTCTCTTCACATAATTCTCCAAGCTTTCATTAAGAGTCATTTGTAGACAAAAAATCAGAATTTTCAATGAAGTATTTTCACCGAAAATTTCTCCATGAATACATGGAGTCAAAGTGTTGAATGCTCCGAGAGCAAAGTGATTTTCATGTTAAGACTAAAAATACTTTTCTTCATCTGAAAAATCTCAACTTTCATGTGTATAATTCTCAAACGTCCCAAATATATTTCAAATGCTTTTTTTTTAGTAAAACTTTATATTTTATAAATTTTCTCCACCATAACAACAACAAATCGGAATAAATCTCAATTACCCTTTTTTCTTTCTAGAATAACTTCAAATTGTAATATTAAACTACAATAGTTTATCCTAAGTAGCTTTAAACTTGTAACAGTATCGATCTGCTTATACTTAAAGTTTAGTGTTTTATTGCCCTTTAAACCCTGTTTAACTCGTATTTGCACTATACAAGTTGTAAATCACTTAGCAAATGTATAGCTGCTCCCAAACATACTTCATGAAAAGTTTTATTAATATTATTAGTAACTTTCCTAATCTAACCTATAAAGTTTATAATTTTTACATTTTAGTTATTTCTAGAATAAATACAGAATACACATGAAATAAGTACTTACCTGGGTCTTTTTTTTTGCTGTTGACTGTCAATGACACTTAACTCTACTTTTTTATATTAATGGTACTACTGCATAAAATAATTTTTATTTAATTAAATAATGCACCAAAGAACACAGAATAACAACATGGACAAAGCAGGCAATGCTCCAGTTTTTCTGGCTTTCTAACAATGCAACAAGAGCCGTTAAAAATTCAGCTAAACTCATCAATGTGTTTCCCATGAAAATAAAGTTTGAGCTGGAACTGAAATACACAATTGTCAGTACAGAAAACAATATAATATAATAGGTCATTTGACAGATTAAAACCTTGGCTTTCTATTGGTTATAAATAATATAGCATTATACATCAGAGAACTATTGGCAATTTGAGAAAGAGAGGATAAGACAAGAGGGCTGACTTTCTATTTGATTGCTCTGTAACTAAATAAGATTAAAGGCTATAAAAATTATGCTGTGCCTGAGTGATGACAAGATTATAAAAAGTAATTTATGTTAAATTTCGTACTTCTTTGAGGGGTGGTAAATAAATTAGAGATAAGGGGATGCCTGGAGAGAAAATGTCACAATTTTCACACTAGAAGAAATTCAGGATTTTTTTAAATATTGTCTTGTAAAACTAGAAACTTATATGATATTAAAATTTGGATTATTAAATATGTTTTATGCCAAATTTACTTGGATACCATGATAAGAAATTAGTTTCAATAAACTTTGAATGTAACTCAATAAAACCTTGTGACATGAGCAGAAAAAGATGCCCGTGGCGAAAGTGTTAACTGGCAAACATTGCAAACCTTCGACCTTCTGATCTGCAGCCCAGCACTAACCTGTAGGATAGGCCTGATTCAGAAATAGAAGGTATTTGATTGATTGTTTGTTGTCAAGCACAAAACTTCACAATTAACAACTTGCACTTTAATCACCATGGCAACCTGATCGTTAGTGTTATAAGCCCTCAGACTTATCACTGAGCCACTATGGGTGGGATACATGGAAACAAGTACTAATCAGTCCAAAACAGAAACCTTTATTTTCTCTGTGCACTGCGTACACACATCTGAAGATGTACGTATATATCAATACACAGATACATACAACAATGCAAGAAGCTTCTGTTTAGAATATAAACTTACAAAATACAATGCTCAAGCTTTTTTTTTTTTATTTGAGCTAACTACCTTTGAATTTTGATAAAACAAAACAAATTATATTCACTTCTCAAAATGATAAAAATTAAAGGTCTAAGTCCAAACAGCTTTTGCAAATTAAGTTTAAAAATATTTTGTATGTAGCTGTTAGGCACTTAAAATATACTTTCCAGAGTTATGGTAACTTCAGTGACATAGCAAAAAGTGCTGCCATTGCTTGATCTATATCTCCATTAAACCTTCGCAAAGCTTCTAAAACATTTTCTCTTGAAAATCCCAGTTGAACCAATTTCTGAATATTTTCTTCTGGAAAGTCATTCATTGGCTGAGCACTTGTAATAGAAGTGGACGGGTGACCCTGGTTACTGCTTCCTGAAACTATTTTAGAAATAGCAAAAAAAAAAAGGAAAAAGAAAAACATGATGATTTGACTTCATATTACAAGTTTCAACTTAAGACTCTGTTACCAGAAAAGGGTGCACATGTCAGTAAAATTAGTATATATTA